CAATCTCCATCTTCCTCAAATTCAATCTCCTTTTTTTTCATTTCTACCAACACTGATCTTGTCCAGCTTTTAATGACCTTAAATAACTGCAATGACTATGTACTATTGTCACTATCTTCCAATAGCTTGAACTGATGCCAGTTATCTTTTCGAAGCCCAACTCCTATTAATTTATACATCACTTCAAAACCCTTGAAACTTCCTATTGCTTACAGAATAAAGTATATACCTTATGGTGACATTAAAAGAACTCCAAAATGTGATATGACCCTCATCTTTATATCCATCTTTATCTTTCAGTATACCTCACAACCAATCCATACTCAAATCACACATGCTTATTTGGAAGACCTTGACCTTCCCAGACTTTTCTACCTCAGTGCCTTTTGGTATAATATTCCCTTTGCCTAGAATACCATTTCCTCCATTGCTACATGTAAAAATCCATTAAAATTTAAAATTATACCTTTTTTTTCACAAAGCTTTCCCTGATGCCTCTGTCTGAAATTGATCTTTCCTTGCTCTGTGTTTCTGTAGCCTTTTATTCTCACTTTATAGGTGTGCTCACTTCCTGTCTTGTGTTAGAGTTGTGCAGTACTTTCTTCTCATCAGGTTGAAATTGCTTGAAGACAGGACCAGATTTTATCTTTTCCAATACACTGTCTTGTTATTGGTAAAAATGTAACGAAATGTGTTCTTATCTTTTCCAATAATTATGTAAAATGTGATTTTGCATAAACTTATACTGTCTTGTTATTGGTAAAAATGTAACGAAATGTGTTGAATTGAGCTGTTCTACACTGACTCAGAGGAGAGCCTTTTCTACCACATGTCACCGTGTCATGGCACAACCGAAGCTCATTCATTTTCTTTCTCCTGCTTACTTGTTTCATTTTCTCTCTTTGCCCTCATTATTTTCCTCTTCTTACTGTAAAATGTGATTTTGCATAAACTTATACTATTGTTTTTCCCTGAGAATCATTATTAAAATGCTCAAATAGTGTTCAGGTAAATAGATATTTTTCTTCATACTAGGTACCTTTTTCTGGAAGGACTTCTCGTTTTTTGGTAACAGGCACTGGTTCTTTCTTTACTGGAACAAGTTTCTTGGGCACCTCGGGCACTTTGAAGATATTAGTTTTATTTTAAAAAGAGTATTTAAAAACATTTAAAAGTATTAAAAATAAAGAATCTATAATTAATGGAACAGCATTAAATTAATGAAAACAAAATAAAGAAATTTTTTGCCCCTAGTTATGCAATAATGAGGACAATTTATTTGATTCCAATTTAAGATACCAGAATACTATTTAAGAAAACAATGACGTCAATGATGACACGAATACCTTTAGCTTCTGGTGTTTCTGGCTTCTTAACAGTTGGGACTTTCTTCGGTGGGACAACTTTCTTTGCCATCTCAGGTACTTTAAAGATATTAGTAGCATTTAATAATATAACATTGCAAGATACAATACCTACACATTAATTTGACAAGTCTGTTCAACACTGTAACATATGGGTAACAGATAAACACATAACAGAGCACACACAGAATAAGGACAGTGTCAAATTTCAGACAGCAAACAAAAAAGAAGTAAGTATGGATTGATTTTACTATAAGTACCTTTAGGAGGAGCTTCTGGTTTTTTGATGATAGGAACTTTCTTCTCTGGAACAATCTTCTTGGGCTCTTCAGGCACTTGAAAGATAGGAATTTCTTTTAGAGTCAGATGATTATAACAAAAAGTCTAATACTAATGAATGAATTAAAACCACATCTATTTCTTTGTTATACACATTGTAAAATTCTGTTGGACCGAAGTTTTATGTGCAAATGATGTTTGTTCTTGCCAATGAAGTCAAATTTCAAGTAAGGAGATTAAAGACTGACATTTTACCTTAAAGAATAGATGTAATGACATAAAAATTAAATGATCAAATGATGTGTTTTCCCACACAGTGGATCTGCCTTATACCTGCCGGTGGTGGGGCTTCTGGCTCCTCTTCTTCCACAGCAGGAACTGGTGCTTCCTCTTCAGGAGCAATTTCCTCGGGTTCTTCATATACTTTAAAGATATAGTTAATTTTAATTCAATGTGTGAAATAATGTTCTAAAATGCACAAACTGAGCACAATCAATGATTTCTCTCCTTGTTTCAATTAATATCTTCTCGTGAAATCTATCTTATTTTCACTGACATCTGTTTCTGTTGATTTGAATGCTGGAAAGCCTTTTGATGTTTAATCTCTTTCATAGTCATTAGTTCTCCTCTCCTGTGTACATTAGAGAGCTTTGTTTAATACAGGTTACAAAATCCTACTTAGATGCCGCAGACTGATAACTCAAAATAGATCTGAGATGGGAGCTAATTAAGAATGATGAAGTAAGACAAATAAAGGACAGGAAATGATGAAAAGATACTAAATTAAAAAAAAGAGGAACAAGGCTTACATTAGAAATAGCACAAGTGGCAAGCTCACTCATGGTCTTACGTGTACCTTCTGGAGGAGGAGACTCCACTTTCTTGGGAACAGGAACGGCTGGTTTCTCTTCTAAGACAGGTTTCTTTGGCACTTCTGGCACTTTAAAGATATTAGTTAGTTTTACCTCTAGGTAGTTGAAAGGACATGAAATTTATACCTCATCTAGTTCACATGTAGTTCAAATAACACAGGGACAGAGGCAAGAAAAATTCACCATAAGGTCAATGACCTAATCTTGGAACTATAGAGAAAGAAAGAAAATGTGGCCTATAAATATTACCAAAACCACATTAGTAAACTCTTCCAATGCTCATAATAGAAGTGTTAGTTTTTTTTAAAAAAATGATGTTATTTACAAAATTTAAACCCCAACCATCCAGAATACCAGGTTTGTAGTTGTAGTTGTGAACATAAGAGATTTGACAAACAAAAGGGTTTCCAATAAGCAAATGACCAAGATTGAGCACTTTTTGCAGAACTTCAGTCGTGACATGTACCTTTAGCTGGTGGGAATTCGGGCATTTTGGGAATGACTATTTTCTTTTCTGGAACAACTTCTTTGGGAACTTCAGGCACTTTAAAGATATTAGTATTTTATCAGTAGGAAGAATAGCTGGTAAACATTTATCACATTTACACAGAACAAAACATGTTTTAAGGGCCAGAGGGTGGATCCACCTCCATCAGATGGTGGACCGAGACATGTACCTTTGACAGGTGGGACTTCTGGCCTCTTGAGAACCACGGGAGGCTCTTTCTTTTCAGGAACAACTTCCTTAGGCACCTTGGGCACTTTGGGCACTTTAAAAGATATTAGTACTTTTTAG